GATAGGTTTATCAGTCAATGAAATCGAAATCGCGTAATATTATCGTAATTTAAAGTAAACGACGTTGCGTTCTATAAGTTCTTTGACGTTTTTAATAATAACCATAATAACAATAAATTAATAAAATATTTTATGAAAATCACWTAGTCAACAGTTGTTGTTTACAGATGTACGAACTAATATTTAACTAATAATTTATTATTAATATGGACTTATTTGATATAAGGCGTAGTACCTAACTTTTTAATCATTGTATTGATTATATAAGTTTATAACTTATAACTAACGTTTTGCTAGAACATGCAAGATTTTACTGCGAATGAAAAAGTTTAAACCTATTAATTATTAGTTTTAACGACATAATATGAAACGGAATATTTAATTTCCAATTAGAACTTTGAGCGATGTTCTTCTTGTATTTCACAAAGTTGTATTATTATATATTTTTGTTCTCAAATATTAAACTCWACTAAGAAGGTACTAATTAAAAAATATATAATCTCTGAATAAGTGTACTTAACATTTTAACTCCTATCTCAGGGTTGTATAATAAAGTGTGTTGGAGTATAAATGGAATATCAAATGTAATTAGTTGCGACTTTATTAGTTTTAATTTTCTGTTGACGTCTGGAGTGTACCAGCACTACCAGCAGATTTCGGGTGGTCGAAAATACAAAATACGTCAATTCTTCAGAGTTCCATATCGGTAATTATATCCTCGAGGCGAATCGKTTTTCTATTGAAATCGAAGTCTCGCGGTAATCTAAACGGAAGGCGGATTTGAGATTTTCAACGGACAGGGATGTGGATTAAATTCAACAACGACGACTATTGGGTATCTAGACTATGATCGGTTCATGTGTATACTCACTGCAGTCGCAATCTTCGGCATTTTTAGTGATCGAATTCACGGTGATTTGAGGCGTAGGTTTGCGAAATCCGAAGTCTGTGAATACGTTTCTCACGCCGTGACCCTGCGGCAGAAATCGCCACGAGACATTAGCCGAATATTATCATATCGCTTTTCGATAAATATATATACATGTATATCATCGTGTTATTTTACGTGCCATTCAGAAATCGAGAGGCGCACAAAGCATTATATACGGTATATTATCTTATTATAAAATTGTATTCTATAGATACTTGCCTGTTGCGTTGCACATGCTATCACGAGCAGGACGGCCGCGAGAAACGAACCTTGGCGACTCGGTGTCATGACTGTGACCCGAAGCGGCCACAAGTGTTATACGTTTAACGGTATCGGACATCGTTAAAAAATGTATACACATACATACGCACAAACACACAGACACAGACACACGCGAACACACATCTTGGACATAACAAACGGGAATCCACTTTTCTACACTGCAATTCAAGACCGACCGTCAGGTCCAGTAAATATATTATATATATATATATATGCGTGCGTGCGTGCGAGTGTATTATTAAAACGTGTTCGGATTGCGCAATGCCGTCCGCAAGGCTAATAGACACGTTGTGCGCGTTTTATGCGGAATGTCAAAAATGCGTCTGACGGAAGTACCTGTCATACACATTGTATTGTATACGCGAGACGACGGTGAAAGAAGAAAAAAATATACGAACGATAGAAAAGAGCAACGCGTAGGCAATGTACACGTCTATGGTGAACACGCTGTGATATCGCAGAGCTGTACACCTACCGAAATACAATATCGATTGTGCATTGTTCGTCATAAGGTTTTACTATTGTACCGCCGCCGCCGCCGCCGAAACTTGAAAGTGAGACGGCGGCGGCGGTGACGTTTTTTTGTCAGCAGACGGTTATATTATGTAGGCACTACCATTAGCGGAAATAAAATAATAGACGGCTCGCACGATGACATTGTGTAGATATAATATTGTATTATATAGTTTTACATAACGTTTCACTCGAGCTTTTGTTTTCTTCCAAACAATAAAGCGTACATGAGGTATATAATAAATTATGCTTTTAGTAACGAGATATAATGTAAAAAAAAAAAAAAAATACAAGATCAAATAAATAATATAATTTAAGGACTTAGATAAGTAATAATAATATAATATTATGTACAATGCATTTAATATTCGTATCTACTTATATATTATGTTTTGTTTTTAACATGTCTTAATTATTATTGCACTGGAAGTCCGATCGCTATCTGACGCAAGCGCAGGTGTCCCGCATATTCTTTTGAATCCAATCCAGGTATTTGGTGACTCTGGTATACACACCCGGGTAACCGGGTCTACCACAGCCGACGCCCCAAGACACTATGCCTGGAATACGAAGTKATATGAAAAATTGCGACAAAAACACAAAATATATACAGGTACCTAACCAATCRTTTGACCGAATTCAATTTTTCAGTAGGTATATATAGAGAGTGAATCTTTTAACAGTGAACGCTCGTCATTCCGAAAAAACTGCAAAGTTTTTGGAAATACATTTTTACACACTTTAGTCACGAAACAACAAATTTTTTCAACATTTTTATTATGTACAATTTTAGTAGGTAGGTACCTTAACTAAATAAGTTTAATTTTTATCACTTAAAAATTTAACTAGGAACCTACTCCTTTAACCATTAAACTCCTACCATTTAACTTACACCAAATTTTTCAGAAAAATAGTCTGCTTTGGTACAGAAMTTAAAAATGTATGATTTTATGATCAAACAGGTAATTAAAACAATTATAACGATAATAAAATTAATGGGTACAAAAAATATATGCATTTTTTTAATGACTTCAAATTATATGAAAACATGTTTTAAAAACGTTAATACTTTTCGAAGGTAGACGAGTTTTTACTGTTAAAAAATAATCTTCTACATCATTACGTTTACGGTTATCTACTCTACGTATATTATGTTACACTCACCAACTATTTCCAACTTGTCATCGACTTCGCTGTTTATCAACAAAGGACCTCCACTGTCACCCTGCAACGACAAGAATCAACATTATTAAATGTGCTTATATAATGATATATATATATATATATAGGATGGTGGGCGTTGTGAGTAGAGTAGGTATAAAAAATGTTTAAATTGTTTTCTTATCCTTAAAAGACTAAGGAGTTTCAATTTCAAACACATTCAGACTTCCGCCTTAGGAGTACCTAATTAATAATATTAGACAATGATAACGATATATAAGTATATGTAGAGTAATAAACTAGAATATACATTTTACACAATAATTATTAAACGTATAAAGTACCTACTACAAAAGTACAAACGTAGTTTGTTGATTAGAAAGTTTCTGTGTCACTATTTCTAAAATGTCAGCGTGTTTCTGTTCCAGAAATATATATATTATATTGTGACAGGAAATTTTGATGATAATACAATGTACTATAAATTATTGTAAAGGTAGTGATTATTATAACCTCACTCGTCGTGTATAATTTTATATGAATCATGGTTCACTGGAAGTGGACGTTTCATTCTCAGAACCACGGGTTTATATCATCAAACCGGAATAATATAATAAATCAATATTATAGTAACATATTATAATGATTTTAAAAATTCCATACAATATATCAGTGGTTTTCAAACTTCTGAAAACTGTTTTTCATGAATGACCGATCGTATTAAATTGTAATATGCGAATTAATAATATTAATATAATGCGTTTAATAGTTATACTTATATCACATTTCCCATCGAGCACACATTTCCAATGAAATAATATTATTTTAATTAAAAATAATTTTGTTCATCTAATTTGGTGTAAAAAAAATAAAAAATAAAAGGGCAAAGTGTGCGTGTTTGATAARAGTTTGAAAACCACTGCAATATAATATTAATATAGCCAAGTTTCAATTTTATACACGACAATAATTCGCAGAGGTGTGTGACATGAATTGAATATTAGTAAAATAGTAACGAATCGGAGGCAAGAACGCGATTATTACGCTTAATATTGCACAAACTAAAATAACAAACCTGACAAGAGTCTTCGAGTCCCTTTCCAGCGCAAATCATGTTGTTGGTGATCCTCTGTGGTCGGTATTTTGAAGCCCTGCACTGCGCCAATGTCAGGATAGGTACTTGAACTTCTTGCACGACGTCCGCCAGATTTCCGCCTTCCGACACACGGCCCCAACCCACCACGGTTCCCACTTTTCCGGACGGTTCGCGGGCTACACATAAAACGACGACGATTAAAATATAATAATTGTTTGCGATATAAGGTGTTTGGAAGAGTAATTTTTTAGCGGTTTTTCGCGTCTCTTCTATAYAGAATTTAGGTATCGTTTTCGTGAAAAACAGCTAYGCCTTTATATTAATAAGCACKTCATTAAGACTATAGGACCTAATCTAAAAATCTAGTGTTATAACTGAAWCGTTTTAAAAATCGTATAGATACGTGGACCAGTTGGCTGCAGGATAGAGGCAGATAGTGGTTTTTCAATTGATTTTTGGGTTTGAATATTTTTTTAATTATTCTCGGACGTTATTGATATTCAAACTTTTAAGTTCAAAACTGTGTAGTTTTTAAGTAATGAAAACCAGTATATCAACTGAAATCCATGGGATCATTAAAAACGTCCACAATTGGATTTCGACGTTCGGGTCGGATAATGACGCGGCAGAAGGCGACTATACCGAGCAAGGAGTGTGGGACTTTCAAAGTTCGTCGTCATACATGCCGTCCGTATTTTCTACAGTCCACTTGGTTATATTATATTTAATTCAGGGCCCCCACAATGGGAGTAGGGGGGGGGGTGTCCAGGAGAACCCATGGTATGGGGCCCGGGCTTTCATGCAAAAAATTACTTGAATATGTATTAGAAAAATGTTCCAAAATGAATTGTTATTTCAGATGGGCCACTGTACCAGGCCAAAATTATGATTTCGGGGCCTGATTATAATAATTATAATAATATGTACTTACTAGGTACCGGCAAACATATCGGYCTCACTGATTTTGTAAACGGCACTGCCTTCCGCAGCCGCAACAGAGCCACGTCGTGGTTGTACGAGTTCACGTCAAAGTTCCGATGTCGCACGATCGAAGACACCATTCTGGTAATCGTCTCGCCGTCGGCCGTCGTGCTCTGGTCGTGATCGCCGAATATCACACGTATACGAGACTTTTTCAACCTATAAATACCGTTCGTTGCATTATACATTATATAGAAGATATTAATGATATCATACTGCAGTGGTCGTAAAAGATCGTTAACATACGATGATAATTACATTATATTTATGCGTAACTTGACGGGAAAAAATTTAACGCTGAATCACTATGAATAACAATATTATTCTAATATAATATAATATTAAAATTATGCTTCGGTTATAATGGCGTTAATGTGTGTGTAACTATATAGGTACCTCCATTATATTATATTTCAAATAAACTGCAGTCCAATAACCGAGGAAAATAGAAGTACCTATTTTTTCTTTTTCTTTAAATGCGCATGGATCTTAATCAGACGATATCGCCCGTTTATCGTTATAATACGAAAACAAGTATATATATGCATATGTGTTTAACTTTCTCCAAGTCCTCGATTAACAATAACTGGCTCAAACTCGAAATCACGCTGCCTACATATATACATTATATTTTATGTATTACTTTTATACATATATATATTATGCTTCATAACGAGGACGAGTAAGAGTAAAAACGTAAATATTTAACAGAGCGCGATTTTTAAATGGTTAAAAGCACATCAAACGTAAAATATTACAATATTCAATATTGGTATGTCACTATAAATTTTAATTTCCTATTGTATTCGCGATCTATGCTATAATATACGATAAAATATTATTATTATTATGCGTTATTATGTTATAATATAATACTGTAACACTTTGTTACTAAAATAATTTAACGTAGAAAACATTCCGATCGCAATCGTAGGTACGTTTTTTAATTTTAATTGACAAACACAAACTCACACTCACACTCACCAGTATGTAAACGATGTCCGCGTTTCATGTGATGGTGTGTTTGCCGTGAAATGAAAATGTGTGCGTTTCGTGTATTCGAAATTGTTTTTTATGAATAATCTCGCAATGGAAAGTTATTGTGCGCGCTTATAGGTATCKCGTGGCTATCATATCTATCGGATGTATGTAATATTATAACCTCGTTGTTCACTCCACGTTGTTAAAGCAAAAATATTTTAGGACGAAATCTCTCGGTAAGGCGGTGGCGGGGAATCGAAATATAATATAATATAAACGTATATAATATAATGACGGTGCGAATAAAATCGACGATGGAAATGCTATGGTTCTACGCGTTAGATATTATAATAATATTATACATATGGTATATATAGGTACCGTAATCGGACGGTACACATACCGCGGTTAGGTATATTATATCTACCCACATATTATGGAGTGATGTGTTTCTGATATTATTATGCGCATTACACACAGTCATTGGAGTATAGGAATGTACAACAATATTGAGTATTATTACCACTACACAATATTGTGCAATTTATAAGTCTTTACAATCTAAAATTCTGAMACAAAATAATTTCCTCAGAGGCTCAGACATATTTTAACGTAAGMATTTCGGATGAGTATTAAAAATACTACTCAAGTTTAAGTGAATTGAATTTCATTTTGTTTCAGWCTTTAAAATTAAGAACAAAGCAGACGTTGAAAATTTACAATTTCTAAAATCTCCAAAACGTCACAATCGAAAAAAAAAGTTGTATATCATTATTTAGTCTATGTACTTTATTTATGAACAACAAAAATCGATTAAAAGAATATTGTTAACGACTCTCACATGAAATGAATCACTCAATATACTGCTGTGCATACTTATATATATCTGACCTCAAGTGTTTGCGGTTTTTCTAGTGATTTTCACAGTGTGGTGGATTCGTTTTTACGGTCCAAAATTACAATATGGGTGCCCATATTATTATTACAATAACGGTAGTTCCGAAATCAGAGACGAACAATAATAATGATGATAATAATAATAGTTGTAATAATAATAATAATAATGGATCGGTGTCACRCGTATAGCATGTAGTATGGATTCATGATTATGTATTAACAAAACGCGTACGCTGACATATTATACATAAATAGTAATCGACAGCTTCTGAAACGGCAATGTATAATAAAATGAGTGTGTAGAAAGTTAGGAAATCCAAAATTCGTGGTCTGTACCGCATATTTCTATGTTATTATAACGACGATGAGGCATTCGAGGACGGTATAATATATCGATAATCGATCGCTTTGCAATTAAAAATTAATTTTTAATCGCACAKCGTGTACGTACTACACCCAGTGGCTACCTATTTAGTATTATGATAATATCATGGTTTAATATTATAGACTATCGGTCACCGTTGTACTAYGAATTGAGGGTTTTAAAACTTTCTATATAGATCCACTAGTTACGCGTACATAAAAACGGCAACAGGTCTCTCTCTATCGTTGGTATAATACTACTATAGTATGTAGGTACACACGCGACTATTTATTCTATACTATGATGATAGGTACTTAAAACATCCGGGGACGTAAAATTCATAATTAATTTTTGTTTTTATTAGAACAACGTATTGGTGAATCAACATATCTACTTCGTAAACCATTTTTCAGCCTGAATTATGAGATTATTTTAACGGATGGGTACTGTCTTATTGATTTCCGTGTTTTACAYTTACACCACTGTCATTTTAATATTTTATAGTAACTCCTTCCATCTTAAAATATTATACCTGGTTTCGCGAGTCTAACATACACAAATACTAAACGGAAAYTTATATTTTTATATTTTATCATTAATTAATTATTGTTTAATTCATTATAGTTATAATGGAAACAAAGATTTGTAAAAAAAAATGTAAGCAATCGGTGAAATTACTGTCGTGATTTCATATATTTTAATTGGTAGGTATAGTGCAGTAAAAAAAAAAAAAAAAATAAGCATTCAATTTAACTAAATTTTACCTATACTGGGTAGTGAGTACTGAGTTTTATATAACTTATAATCATAAAAGAAAATACATTCAAATGTCTTCAGATTTCGATCAAATCAGCTGATCAGAAAAATTCATAGAACAGTTATAATACACTCAAACCTTTCTAAAGACACGAATATTGAACAATTAGCATGCACTTACTTCCGTACGCAATGAGCTGCCGTCAGCACGTAATCGCTGTTGATGAGTGATCCGCCGCAGTGGAAGTGGCTTTCGTACATGAGTTTTGCTACCCATGGGTATCTATGCACCCCAGTGGGACGGCCACCCACTATGCGGATTTCTTGGTTGGGCACTCCACAATCTATAGATAAAACAAATGWTTAAAATGTTAAATGATTTGAAACAATATCATAGATTTCCACGGGAGTTATATGTATCAAGGGTGATAAATAATTTTTCGCCACAGCGCATTTTAACCAACTATTGCAATATTGATATGCGTCATCGGTACTAGTCGGGGTTACATAATCCAAAAAACTTGTGTCTATAGTGGATTTCATTTGACGATGATCAATGTTTTACCATTGAAGTCTATGTTTAAATATATATATATATACATACTGATCCGGAACATATAATGTTAAATGTAACAACAATAATAATTGTGCAGAATCCAAAGAAAAACTTACTCAAAATCGAGTAATGGTGACTTTAACAACCGTATTATATTATWCAAACCGTCGAAACGTCATATACAAACGATTGAAAAAAAGGCTATGAATACCAACTGAAATGTCCATCCGATAAAATGTATATGCGTTTATATAATGGTTTAAATTCATAAACTCGACGTGGGAGATATTATATTGACGTGTGATGTTATGAAACGATATATTATAATACATCGAAAGCGRCGGTGTCGATTGAATAAAACYGATTTTATATACGCATTGTGTTGTATATGCGTGAAAGAAACGGTCAACCTTCTTGTCAGGAAGCGTTTCGAACAACGCTTTCCGTTTTACGATTTAAAAACACGGATGATAATAGACATCAAAAGCGTATATTTTCGTCGCGACGGTAAAAGTATAATAATATAATATTATTATGTATTTTCATTCTGACCCGAAAACCGTGTAGGGCAGGGGAGCCTCTGTAACCGGTATGGATGGTGTTTCCGAAAATCGGTAATCAGGTCGAACAGCGTCCTCAATAGCGTTTCGACACAATGATAATATGATTGTGTTAATGATGTGATGTATAATATCGTGTTTGGTTACAGTAATAATATTGTGATCCGCATCAGGCGTATAACAAACAATATTATGTAATTTATTATATTATGCATCACTCACTGCAAGAGCAGTTGGACACCGGTAACTTCTCTTCGGGCTCGTAGCTGACCGAACCGAATATGTCGTCGAAGAATATTCGCTTGTCGTCCTGCCTGTCGGGCCTGGACGTGCTGTCGTCGTCGTTTTCCTGCGAAAAGAAAGTGATGGAAATTATCAACACGCATAATGTACGCGCCGTGTAGGGTAAGCCACGAACACCTATAACGAGTCGTTAAGATTAGATTTCAAGAGCTTCCCGATAACGCCTAAATATGCATTTATGTATGGGTAGGTTAGTTGGTTGGGTGGGTCACGCGACATCGCACGACGATAAACATCAGTAACCGTTCGTCATTTTAAGCGCACGTCTCGTCAAAACGTTCGATTTTCGTCGTTTTCGTTTTCATGCCACACGCGACGTTATTATTKCWKTKTTTTRKTCCTTTCTCGGTGGCGGCAGAGCTACTTTTACCACAGAAATGTAACGCGCCGACCGGCCTCTCGAACCGGTCATAATATAAAAGAGAACGAAAACGAAGGCGCCGAGAGTGCAGACGCRCGATTGTCATAATAATAATTTTTAATATTTTTGTTGGGYTCTGTGTCGGCGAGGCTCGTTCGCGGCCACGCTGCGGACGGTTTGTGCCGCGCGGCGTCACTGCGCCCGGCAGAAGCTTACCGTGGACGCGGACGTCGGGGTGGTGGCCGATCCGTGGCCGATGGTCGAGGCGACGGCGGCCGTCAGCATGCACACGTGCACCACCATCTGCTGCAGTTGGTGCGACCGCATCGTCGACGGCGGCCGAGCACCATAAACGCCCGGTGGCCGCGGTCTGCGCGAGCGTCCGTCCGTCCGTCCGTACCAGCTAGCGAGCGATCGATCGACGGAGCGAGCGTCCCGTTGGCGATCGAGCGCGTACACGTTGGCGAGTGCGACGAGCGGCCGTCCGGGCAACGTGACGATGTTCCAGACGCGACGCGCGTATTACACACCGTGGTAAGTGGTTACCTCCTATACGACTTCGCGACCGTGTGCACACTAAACCGAGTTATCGGTGCGTGCCGCTTCCACTGAGACGGCGGCGGTGGCGGCGGCGGCGGAAAGAAAGTGCACCCGCCAGTGGACCGGACGCGAGTAAAAGCGGACGTGCACGCGCGACGTACCGGTAGCTGCGTAATATTGTTGGTATTGTAAGCGTGATGGTATATACCATTTACGTATAGTATATTATATATGTACCTACACGACGATATAATAATACAATGCATACGACTCGTGTATACCTACTCTCACTTTCTTGCGGACGCGACGACCTTGAAGGCGCCCCGCCACTGACGGCCCGAGCCTATCCAGTTACATATATTATAATATAATAATATCCTAGAAAAATCTCGTCAAAACGGAATGTGATGGGACCGATAAATAAATATTTTGTTTCAATCAGACCTTTTTCGTTTTTTGTTCGACAACCCAGTGGCATGGGAGGGGGGGTTGTGGAGGGAGGGTAACATTTTTTTGACGACAAGTCTAATTCGAAATTTTACAACTCCTCCGAACTATCCACTGTTGGTTTGTACACAAAATACTTGCTTCAAACTCAAATTCTCGTATTTACACAAACTATATCTAATTATTTTTAATTAAAATTGAGTCTCAGGCAAAACGTCAGAAAAATAAAATCATTAATTAAACTTCTACTTAGGTACATTTTTCTTTTCAAACAAATAAATTTTCTCCGTTCAATCTAAATAAAAATACGATTMTATTGCAATCGTCTACAAAATATCTAAGTTTTATACTAGACGTCTTGATAATCAATTTACCTGGTCAAACCAYTATGCACAGTAATAAAACACACATTAGCTACTGAATTCTCGTCTCAATCAATCACAAACTTATTCTCAAAAMTAAAAACGCGWTTGTTTACAATATTTACAGTTATGACTGTTATGAGGACAAGCTAGCAAATATCCGTCCTGCACAAATCTTTTAGACCATAACCTTAATAAGATCTAATCRCATTCTGCCCAGTGTGTTACACGACAAACGCTGTGTGCCACAGTGATCTAAAATTATGATCAGTAAATGAACCTGCAAAAAGTTACTATGAAAAGTTCCACTCTAAGTTTATGTACTCTCATTTATGTATATTTTTATGTCACATTTACCGTTGTTTTAAATAAATTGGTCAACATAATTACTGTCATAAAAGTCTAGCAATACTTTTATCCTGAGGGACAGGATTGTCTCATTTATCGAACTACATCTTATATACCAGTGTTACATGTTATTTACCTTTTAGGTTTAACAGATATTTTATGAAATAAAAATATGTATCAGTTACATGGGTGACTAATTATTGTTAAATATGAATGCAATTTTTCAAGTGAAATAAAAACTTTTTATGTATCATTGAACTGTATATAAGTAGCATAACCTATAATATTATTTTGTTTAGTAAAATTRTTCAACTATTGTTATGAGTCGCTGGGTGATTATTGTTTAATTAGTTTCTCCGATTAAATGTAAAAGTTAAAATATCTTTTTATTACCCGGAACTTAAAATCACGGAATTTAAAAAAGAAATTAATCTAYATACGTAGGTATATAGTACATCTACGTCCAATAGTAAATTTCTATACAATTTATACCCAGAAGTTTAATTTAGGAAACATTTTTTCCCGACACTAATTTTAGTAATTTATTATGGAAAAGACTAAAAGACATCTTGTATACTTTTCACAAAAATCTATGGACATTTTCCGAGAAGGTTTAGTTTTAGTGATTAATGATTTTTATGTTGGATTTTTTTGTATTTTTTAGATTTATGTGTTTTGTTTGGGTTTTAAATGACGCTTTATAATAAATAATGCACACCTGCACCTACCTTATATTACGTTAATAAGCCGGTTAATTTTAACAAATTTTTCGTTTTGGCATTAATAGTTAGAATAATATTATAACAATGTAGGTACATTGTAAATTATAAATTACGCGATGGATTTTTTCTTTTAATTAATGCATTAAAACACTTTTGTATATTAGTATTGTAAGTCATCGTGGTGTGTGGCTTCACCTGCTACGATTTGCTAATATAATATATAGTATATAGATAGATAGGTATACTTATTTTGTCTTGGTTTCGTCAAGAAGTCGTTAAAAATTAATCACAAAAATTATACTTCTTACTTATATGGTAAAACATTATTAWCCAGTGCGAGATTTTAACCGAAATTAAATTTTCAAAGGCAATAAGATTCCGTCATAATATAGTAATAATAATATAAATAATAATAAACTTTCGCTCGTTGTACTTACCAACACGCGTATAGCATAATAAAATAAAATAAAAATATATTATACATCAAAAGTTYGACTCTTATCGTGCAGTTTCCGAAATAGTTTTACGCATGCACTCGACAAATGTAAAACTAATAACTCGTGTTTGCTACAGCTACCGTCTTTTCTCATATTATAMACGCCTAGTAGGTATATACATTATACTGCAGTATATAGGTACCAAAGTTTTAATGTATTTTGTAACAATAAAATTCGTCGGAAATCAAGTTGGTGCAGAAATGTCACGTGCACACTTTTTTGCGAAGACGACCGTCGAATTTTGATTGACTTACAACCAGAAAGTTTGGAAAAGGTGTATTAAGTAAATGTGCATCACGTCGACCTGAAACAGTTTTGACTGACCATCAAATCTGCGTGTGTGTCTTCCCTGCCTATCAAACTTATATATATAGACCATAAACATATTATATGTAGAGTTAAATATAAACCTTTGCACCTCTAATACTATGTTATTGTACAACGCAGAATAACTTTTCGCTCGATTTGAATAATTTGACACAGAGGGATCGGTTTAAAAATACCATTACAGCATTTTTATACTATCCTAAAAGTGACAATGTACAATGTACAAATGCGATTCAAACCATTAAAAGTGTCTACATCTGCTCAAATGATTTTAACTCACATTCACTGTACTTATGTGTTTCGTCGACTCCTAATTTCAGCATTATTTCATATCATGTCAATTATGAGCATTTAAAAAAAAATATATTGATATTTTACTTATAATATCATAAGCACTATGTTATTCTCTTAAGATTCTAGAAATATTTTAGAAATTAATTCTGGWTTAAGTTATTTTTTGTTTTTATCAACTCACCTTAACTTTTCTCAAATTAACTAAATATAGGTAACATTTCTTTTTATAGTTCTGACAATAATTTTACGTAAAACGTGTGCAGTCAGCCATACAGTAAGCGTTATTAGTTTAACTGATCACTTRTGATTATTGATTTTGACAAGCAATGTTTAGCATTTTTACTGTTTTGGATTYATCATCGTTAATATAATATTTAGAGGTGTATTCGTAATGTTTTCGTCGACTGTTCGTCAAATGTGCTAAAATAAGTTTAAAACACTGCGGTAAATACAAAGATTTTAWAATTGTTTTAACATTTTGACAATTTTAACACATTGCTTAAATGCGTGAACAATTATTTATTAAGAGCTTGATTCTGTTATTATAATGGCATGTTACACGTGCTTAGGATTTTGATGACCAATTAACGCATTTCGTTAATACTMTATATAAATATATTTATGATGCATTCATATAGCTGATGAAAGGAAATAGAAAGCGAAGTATACTTTTATGATAGTAATAACAGTTTTTTATTATAAGACTAAAACCACACATTTCAATATTCATCGTGCCCACGCAAACAAACGACACCGTGGAGCGTCGAAAGTTATAGTTGATCGTGTTACACAATCTTAATTTTTTTACACAGTATATGTTAAATTAAAAATGTTTTTGCACTTATCCGCTTGTCTAAATTTAACAAGATCATTATCAATTGGAAACTATAAATATTCGATATTTATATGTATAGACTTCTTGAATAAGTCATTTTAGGAAATTTTTAAATTTTAATTAAAAAATGAACATAAAAAAAACAATTGAAACAATACCACATAGATGTATAACCTTATAATAATTTCGAACATACTAAATTTAAAATATTATTATTTGCAGAATCACAAAAATTGTCTGTAAGAATTTAAAAAAAAAATATCCTCCTGCAGCAGTAATTCATGTTTTCTTTTTTTTCATGAAAGTTCTCAGTACTTGCTGCAATTTGATTAATACATCTTACAAAACAATTTTTTTAGGATTTGTCTCAAAGCTCCGTGGTTTATGATAAACAGTCAAACTCAAAATGATATACGGGTTTACCCTTCATCAAMAAATGGATAAAGACGCAATCCCAAAACTTTCACTACAATTTAAAAAATTCRGACGGAGCCCGTCACTACAACCTAAGAAAAATAACACTAAACACACGTATACGACCTCGACTCCCTCAGGACATTCTCCTAACGGATAGCGAAGAGTCGTCATCAGAAGACCCATAGAAKWATACACTTACAGTCATACTATAAACATAKAACTATAATTTACTCAACTGTATCAATGTTTAAAATTCATGTATTTAGTATAATTTTAATCCATTGTTAAAAAATTATTACTTGTAATAGCTTCATGTGTRMTGAAACATTTTAAGATTATAACAAAAAAAAAAAATCGACATATTTAAGATGTAGATAATCCGATACCTAACCATGCAGTGCAGAAAAATCAGTTGTTCGTGGTTTATGACAATTTTATAATACAGTTTAAAGCATATATTTTACATAGATACTTCGTGTTAATCATGGATTTAATTGGAAATCGGTTGTGATTCTTATTAGGGCGTGATAATGGCGTCAGACCGGCTTTACGAAAGTGAAAATGTTTACTTTGTTGCAGACCGCGTTCGTCGACGGTAGAAGTGCGTTCGCTTAAATCAAGATGTGTACACACTCTAAAAAAAACGGTTAAAAACCAGCATTGACGATTTCTATATAAATCGCCAAGTAAATATTAATCTTTAAACCCATGTGATTTAAATGTTTTATAGTATATTATAGGTATTTTAAGATGATAAAATTTACAATATTATGTTGTAATGTTGTATGTATTTTGGGTTAATTTTAGTGCAAATTGATARCACCTTTATTTTAGACCTATTCTGCAATAACGGATCTTCTGAGTCGCAAG